ATCACATGCTGCCTCCCCAGGTGTGCATTAGCAGAACACTGGAATCAGAAGCAGAGCCAGAACCTGCACTCTGGCTCTCCAATATAGAAGGCAGCCATCTTAAGTGGTGTCTTTTATTATTATTATTATTATTATTATTATTATTTATTTGAAAGACAGAGTTACAGAGATAGGTAGAGACAAAGAGGTCTTCCATCTGCTGGTTCACTCCCCAGATGGCTGCAACAGCCAGAGCTGTGTCGATCCAAAGCCAGGAGCCAGGAGTTTCTTCTGGGTCTCCCACGTGGGTGCAGGGGCCCTAGGACTTGGGCCATCTTTCCCAGGCCATAGCAGAGAGCTAGACAGGAAGAGGACCAGCTGAGACTAGAATCAGCGCCCATATGGGATGCTGGCACTTCAGGCCAGGGCTTTAACCCACTGCACCACAGCACTGGCCCCCTTAAATGGTGTCTTAACTGCTAAGCCAAATGCCTGCCCCTCACTTGTATATTTTCAGATTTATAACTTCCATCTGTCTATTTTGATGTGTACCTAATTACATTTAAATATCTATATTGTAATTTTATAAATCTCATAGATATATTTATGTAAATCACTAGCTAATTATCACTTAGTCTTATATTTACATCATTTTGTATTTACACCAACTATATTGCAATCTACATTGCTATTTCTTTTTTAATTTAAGTTATAAAAGTCACATATTTCATATGTACAGATTTAGGAACACAGTGGGACGTCCCCCCCTACACTCCCTCCCGCCCATGCTCCTACATTACTATTTCTAAATATTGCTAACTATCTAAATGGCTTCTACATCTTTTCTTCTACATCTGCACTCTTGGGGCCAGTGCCGTGGCTCACTTGGTTAATCCTCTGCCTGCAGCGCCGGCATCCCATATGGATGCCAAGTTCTAGTCCCGGTTGCTCCTCTTCCAGTCCAGCTCTCTGCTGTGGTCCGGGAAGTCAGTGGAGTATGGCCCAAGTGCTTGGGCCCTGCACCCGCATGGGAGACCAGAAAGAAGCACCTGGCTCCTGGCTTTGGATCGGCACAGCACTGGCCATAGCAACCATTTGGGGGGTGAACCAGAGGAAGGAAGGCCTTTCTCTCTGTCTCTCTCTCACTGTCTAACTCTGCCTGTCAAAAAAAAAATTAAAATGAATGCTCTCTCTCTGGACATAACTCCTCTCATTAGCACTATAGCATCCTTTGCTACTATTGTGACTTTTCACATGGTCCTTTTATTGTGTAGTCATGTGTTATATTTCAGCATATAATAAAAACAAATCAAACCATAAAGTGCACTATGAGGTATAGATATGATAAGCTTGTGTCTGTATATACATATGTGTGTATGGGTGTATACATTTTTATTAATGTGTATTGTGTGATTTGATCAACATGGTGAAATGAAAACTATGTTCTGGCACAGTGCCTAGTTTTTATACATGCTTGTTTTCCTTGAGGAACTTCACGGTGTGGAGGACAGGAATGTAAATAATCACAAAGCTCCTTATGACTTTAATGATGGGTGTATCTGAAGTGCTGCCCGAGCAAAGAGTGAATCATGGCTTTGGGAGTCAGGGAATTCTACAAAGGAAGTGACATTGGAATTAGATCAAATGCTGAGCAACATAGAATTCCAGACGTGGGGACGAGATGAAAGGACATTCCAAGAAGAGAAAAAAATATTTGCAAAGGTCTGCCATTAAGAAATATCAAGGCACATTTGGAGAATGCAAACCACTCTGTGTTTTCACTTGATGCTATGTAGGGTGGGAGGTGAGTGAGGAGATAATGGAGAGGAGAGGGCATAAACATGGAAGGGCATTTGGAGCCAGTTTATGAAGGGATGTGTATGCTTTCCTAAGTAGTTTGAACATTTTTCAGTGGAAAAAGGGAAGCACAGAAAATAAGATATTTAGTGCTGCATACCAATTTTATTTTTTAAGGATGATTATTCTATGGCTATTTGGACATTAAAAGGAAGAAGGAAAGGCTAGAAGCATAGGAAGAGTTTATTGCACAACGTAAGAGATCCTGAAGACCTGAGATATGACAGCGGCAGTGGAGTTGGGGAGAGGGGAGTGTAACTGAGAGCAGTTATGAAGTAGAATGAACAGTGTATGGTGACTACACGTTGGGATAAGGTAGAAGGAGATTCTAGAATGTCTCCAGGCTTCCTGGGCTAAAAGGGGGGGGGGGCATGGATTGGCCATTGTCTGAAATGGGAACTTGGGAGGAAGAACTTTCTAGAGGAAGATATTGCCTTATTTATGTCCACATTGAGTTGGTTGAGCCAAAAAGCAAAAATCCTAAAAATATGTGCAGACTCATTAAGGCTAGAAGTGCACAGAGAAATCTAATTGAAGACATCATCAAATAAAAATTGTCCTTTGGAAGTGTTCTAAATCTAACTGGACAAAAGCAAAATAAGAACATACCATGTTTATCCTGGACTTTAGACAATCTGAGTAGTAATTCTAGGGCTTTAACCCATGAAAAGTTTTTAATGCTAGAGCCTTATCCTTTAGAGTCAGGAGAATGTCAGGAGTTAAATCTTTTACTTTCAGCTTAATACTTGTCTCTGATATCATACTGCTGCAAGCTATCACCTAGCCTCATTGTCATCTCTAAGACTTCAATTCTGGGACTTTTCCATAACTGCTTGCCCTTCATTTCTCTTTGTAAGAAGCAAGGAGTTGCAGTGCTCTTTGGTCTCCAGTTTAGCGATTTTAGATACATGAACCCATCCCAATTTTGTGCCATCCTTCCACTCACGTATCATCCCTCATCAACAGATTCATATTATGTCAGGGTATAGAGATACAAAGATGAATAAGATAGACATTACCCCTTCAAGAAGTACGTATTTCATCCAGAGATGAGTGGAAAAAACACAGCCTCTAGGATTCACATTCTGGTAGAGCAAGCTGGCCTACGTCCTCAGTTTTCCTTGTTTCCAGCTTTGTAGACTACTTTCTCAATGCACAACAAACTCCAATGCTATTCAAGGTCAGAGAACCTAGGCCAAAGTGTGTGTTCAGAGAAGTAACTGAGAGAGGGAGAAGTCCTGGTCCAGTTCAAGTCTGGAGTGGTATCTGGAGATCCCTTTGCAATGAATGATGGAATCAAGAATTAGGACTTTGGAGTCACATTGAACTGAGTAGACTTCCCCAGGGGAGAGGTTTCAAAGACATGATCGGTGTGTGCACTGCAGGTTAAAGAACACTTTCATACTATTGTCTGATTTGATCTTCATGAGAACCTGGTGAAGTATTATCACTTCCATCTTCATCCAAGGAAACCAACACCCAGAAAACTGAATGGATAGTTCCATGCTGAATACTTTAGGTTAGTTTTCTTATTTCATGCACACAGGAATTCCATGATTTGCTATGCCTCCTCTTTTTCTTCCTTCTCCCTCCCATTTCACAGATAATGAATGAGGCTAAGGGAGGCTAATGGCATTTTCCACCCATTAGTAAGTACTTGAGCTCAGATTCAACTCCAAATGTGCAAAAATCCAAAGTCTCTGCTCTCAAGCTTGGTCAGAATCACACTGTGCACTTACTCCTCATGTAGGATCTCTGTCCTTAGTGTACTGTACATTGTGATTTAATGCTATAACTAGTACTCAAACAGTATTTTTCACTTTATGTTTCTGTGTGGGAGCAAACTGTTGAAATCTTTACTTAATGTATGCTAAACTGATCTGTATAGAAAGAGAATCGAAAATGAATCTTGATGTGAATGGAAGGGGAGAGGGAGTGGGAAAGGGGAGGGTTGTGGGTGGGAGGGACGTTATGGGGGGGAAGCCATTGTAATCCATAAGCTGTACTTTGGAAATTTATATTCATTAAATAAAAGTTAAAAAACAAACAAACAAACAAACAAAAAAAAAATAAATGCCCACAAGAGCTGGAAGGTGACATAATCAGATAAAATGATCCAGGCACTAAGGATTATTTCAGTTTCCTCTTAGTTTCCACAAAGAAAAATAAGAGAAGAAAAATAATTTAAGAAATTTACATTTTGAATTCGATCATAGATGTAGTAAAGACTGGTGGTACATTATAAAATGGAAAGTATATACCTTATCTAAATCTGGCAGTTGTTAATCTCATTAATGGAATGTGGGTTTGTCTATGACTATGGATTTAGAAAAAAAAATTTATTTTTGGAATCTTAAGTAAAACATATTTCTAATACTAATGATCAATATAATATTAAACCAATAAAAGATATCCATCTTGATGGTACCTGGCTCACAGGATGCAGTTTATTACTTCTATCCTACACTGTTGCTTCAAAGACTTCTCTGTAGCATCAGCTAAGCACCTGCTATGCAGGCATCAGTGTGCTGAGCTCAGGACTGGTATGGGGCAGGCACCTGTTGATCAGGTATGCTTATGGCTGATGACCAATTTTTACTCTGAGAGGATTTTGGATACTTTAAATATCATTCTTAGCTGTGCAGCTTTATATAAAATAATTGCCTTAATCCTCATAGCAGCTCAGCAAAGGAGACTTAATTATTTCTATTTCATAGTGCAGGAAATTAATAAACAGGTTGGTTGTTGGTTACAGAGATTATGCTGCAGCAAGTAGCTGATGTGGAATGTTGGATTCAGACCTGACTCTGCCTTCTCTTCATTCTGTAGTCACCCTTCTCACAGAGGCAATCTTGGCTGTTTCAGGTTATGGAAGTTTCCCTCTTATAAATATCTAGTGGAAATGTGCGGCAAGGTGGAAGGAAGGGGGTAGAATTATCTTTCAGGAGAGAATACTCCTCTGCCACCCCTTGCCACTGCCAACATCAGTTCTTGTAGGGATGGAAAAGCTGATAGGGTGAAGAGGGGAAAGAGAACAAGACTCTGCTCCTTCATAGCACAGAAGCTTCGACACTGAGGCGAGACACTCCCACACTCAGCAGGTGACTGCAGGGATAGGGTGATATAGGGAGGCAACCAGCTGCTGGAATGCCAACCTGGGTGATGAGCCAGGAAGATACCAAGTGGTTGTCTCATGGCTCAAGCCAGGCCAGAACCCTTTATATAAAGGCAGCCTTCTGCCAACACTCCTTAGCCTGAATGCCTACGTGCCTATGAGAAAGGTGAGTCTAAGAGTTGGGATTGGGATTGGGATGGGGATGAAGCTTGGTAACCTTTTGGGGGACCTGAGAAGCATAACTATGGAGCTTATGAGAAGATCTAGGGCTATGGCATCAGTGTAGTTCACTTTGGTACACTTGACTGCACCCTTGGGTGCTGTTTTCTCTCCCCAGGACCTGGAAAAGGTGCACTAGTAATTTACAGCTTACGAACAGTCAGATGAGGGTAGGAGATTCTCTCCAGGGGAGTATGTTCTGAGATAATCGCTACAGGTGCTTCATTAGAAGCATTTTCAGAATGTGGGAGTTTATCGAGAGGTGTGGTGTTGGATGAACCAATTGTCAAATCAGCCACTGCTGTTGGTTGCTGGGCTGTGGAACACATGGATTTTGATGAGTGCAGAAGAGTGGAGGCTGTCCTGTGTCTCCCTGGTGGAGCATCCCCCAGGCCATGTTTATGATGCTCCTGCTGCCCAGATCTTTAAGAGTGACTGAATGTCAGTCTTGGGATCAAGTACCTTGCGTTTTCTAGGTCACCCCATCTTAGGGAACTGCTGTGCCTCTGACAGCGGCTGGGGAGAGAACATTTCTCAAGGCAGCAGACTGCCACACTTCAAATTATTGACAACTGCAACCTGCCTGAGCTAGTTACCATTTTGATTTCAATTCCTTTCAAGCCTGGTGTGTTTTGTCTGTGCAAGCTTTTGCATATGTGTGGGCATCTATCTTAATGAGTACATGTGAAAAACACTGAATATAGATAACATTTAACGTGAAGTGGGAGCTGCCCAATAATTGATTGCATCCTTAACCTTCTCATGGATGTTTTGAGATATGAGGGCAGATGGTGCCTGAGGGATTGTTCCCACATGCACCTTTTAAAAAATATGTTTGCACAAATGTGTGTGCTTCCAGTATGTGTGTGAGAGGAAATCCAAGCTCCTGTGGGTGTGGAGTCCCCACTTCGGGCTGCAGCCTTGGGAGTCAGGGCTGCTTCTTCCACTTAGGACGTGCACCAGTGTGAATTCTTTTGTCTTCAGTGCCCTCTGGTGCTGGACACTGGTATATCCCCCCTCCAGGGATGGATCCTGGATACCAGCCACCCTGGAAGAGCACAAGCTGGCCCTTTGGTAGACCAAGGGCAGATCTCACGGACAGTCAGGACTGATCACGTGTTTACCTAAATCAGTAAGCGTTCTTGGGTGAAGGTTGAGGAGGGAGGGGAAAAGATCAAGGAAGATGCAGGGTGTCCTCCCCGGGGTTCTGTCCCCTGCTCTCCAACTCTCATCTTCTTTGTCTTGGTCTGCCCACCTCAGATCCCACTCACCTGCCTGCATCAGGACCATGTGCGACCAGCAGCAGATTCAATGTTGCCTGCCACTCCCCCAGTGCTGCGTCAAGGGTTCCTCTTTCTATGCCAACGGCCAGTCCCCCTATGCCAACAGCCAGATGGTGATCCAAGCCCCTTGTGAGATGCAAATTGTGGAGTGCCCCACGCTATGCCCAGTTCAAGTTTCCCAGGCTCCATCCCAGGCTAAGACTACTGAAGTGAAATGCCAGGCTCCCTGCAAGTCTAAGACCACCCAGGTGAAGAGCCAAGCTCCCTGCAAGTCTAAGACCACCCAGGTGAAGGGCCAGGCTCCAGTTGCCTGTGTTCAGTGCCAGGCTCCTTGCCAATCGGAGGTGTCCTATGTGCAATGTGAAGTCCCACACCCTATTCAGACTTGCTATGTAGAATGTGCTCCAGTTTGTTATACAGAAACACGTTACGTGGAGTGCCCAGTCCAGACCTATGTACCCTATGCAGCACCTCAGCCCGTCCACACGTATGTAGAATGTCCCCCAGTGCACCAGGCTCAGGGAAGATTCTCCACCCAGGCCCAGTATCGGGGATCATACAGCAGCTGTGCCCCTCAACGCCAGCCCCAGGCTTCCTACAGCAGCTGCATCCCCCAGCGCCAGTCCCAGGCTTCCTATGGCAGCTGCATTCCCCAGCGCCAGTCCCAGGCTTCCTATGGTAGCTGCAGCCCCCAGCGCCAGTCCCAGGCTTCCTATGGCAGCTGCGCTCCCCAAAGACAGTCAAGGCCTTCGTTTAGCTCCTTTGAACCCCAGTGTCAGAACCAGGGCTACTATGGCAGCTTCACTGGGCAGCGCCGATCTCAGAGTGCCAGCAGGTGCCTCCCTCCTCGCCGGCTGCAGCCTTCTCCTCGGAGCTGTTCCCCACCACGCCGCTCTGGGCCCTGTTACAGCAGCTGCCTGCCATCAAGATGCTCGTCCGGCTCCTACAACTACTGCACCCCACCCCGCCGCTCTGAACCCATCTACGGCAGCCGCTGTCCTCGCGGCCCTCCTCCCAGCTGCTCTCAGAGACGCGGACCCAAGTGCCGCATAGAGATTTCCTCGCCCTGCTGCCCCAGGCAGGTTCCCCCACAGAGGTGCCCTGTGCGGATTCCCCCCATCAGAGGCTGCTCCCAGAGCTGTGCCCCCCAGTCCTCCTGGGGTGCCTCCTGTCCGGAGCTGAGGCCACGTGTAGAGCCGCGTCCACTGCCAAGCGCCTGTCCTCCACGCCGTCTTGAGCAGTGTCCGGAGCCCTCACGTCAGCGATGCCCACGTCCTGCCCCACGTCAGTGTCCACGTCCAGAACCCCTCCCACGTCCTCCAGCACGGCAGTGTTCAGAGCCTTGTTTGTATCCAGAGCCACGTCCAACGCCACGCCCTCATCCAGTGCGGTGTGAGAGTCCGGAGCCACGCCCTCATCCAGGGCGGTGTGAGAGTCCGGAGCCACGCCCATATCCACAGCCCTGTGAACGCCTAGAGCCTTGTGCGTTTCCAGAGCCCATCCCCCTTCCAGCGCCTTGCTCAAGCTCAGAGCCATGTGGAGAGCCTCCACGCTGCCCCAGCCCCTGTTCATTCCCAAATCCAAGCTCATGCCCACAAGACCTAGGCTGCAATGAGTCCGATCCATGCCGCCTAGACACCGAGGCTCCCGGCTGTGGCCCGTCGAGTTACCACCAAGGGCAAGAGAGTGGTGCTGGCTGTGGAGCTGCTGAGCTGTTTCCAGAGCCTTGGGGTCCGGGGGGTTGTGGAGACCAGGGAAACGCCCCTACTGGAGTGAAAGGTGGGACTTGTGTCGGAGCGAAAGGTGCCTATTTTTAAGGGACATGTGGCTGAGTGTCCCCTGCCTCTTGGTCTGAAAATACTGCTGCTACTCTTCAAACAGCCGTAGTTTCCAGCATACTCTTGTTTGCTTCTCTCCGAAGACACTCAGGGGCTCCCTGCTAGCCTGTCCCACTCCTCTGCATATCATCTCAGTACCTGGTGTGGCTCTCCCAAGTCTCTCCAGTGGCACACCTGACGCCTGCCCTGCACACATCCTCAGTCTAGCTAGAGCAGTCTGGCCATGAGGACACATCTCGGGTGTTCCCAGGACATTCCTTGGGAATCTGTGCCTCCAAGCTTCTGCCCATGCGTCTCTCCTCTGCCTGGACCGCTAAATACAACCCAACGTCAAGGCCTCCTCCTGGGAGCCCTCCTTGCTTGCTCCCCTCCCCTGCCTTAGGAGCCTTTGCTGACTTTCTAGAACTCACTGTATCACCCACAACATCCATTTAGCGACTGCTTTACAACTCTTGGGTTTTTATGTCACTTGGCAGGGGTGTCTCCATTATTGATACAGCTAGATGAAAAACTCCCATCCTAGTGGGGTCAGAAATCCCTAAATTTCTGAGTCTCTCCTGGAACAAGTAGTTGCTTACCTGAGCTGTGGGTTGGCAAGTTGAGCCATGTTTTGTCCTGGTGGACACCATAGGGAGTGAGGCAAGAGGAGGCCTTGCAACAATAAAGATGATGTTATATGCACAGTCCGAGTCTTGAGTAATGACTTTTTTTTCTCCTTCCTGACTGAGATGGATTTTTTGAGTTGTGATAAAAAATACATAAAATCTAATTGTACGTGTACCATGCGATGGCATTAAGTGCGTTCACACTGTTACACCTTCACCACCATCCTCCCACAGAACTCTCTTCCTCTTGCAGAACTAAAACTCTACCGACTCCATCACAGCATCTCATTCCCTACTCCCTCATCCCCTAGTAACCACCACTCTACTTTAAGAGTTTATCTAGTATGGCCAGCACTGTGGCACAGCCAGTAAAGCTACCGCCTGCAGAGCTGGCATATCATATGGGTGTCAGTTCCCAGTTTGAGTCCTGGCTGTTCCAGCTCTCTACTATGGCCTGGGAAAGCAGTAGAAGATGGCCCAAGTCCTTGGGCCTCTGCACCCACATAGGAGACCCGGAAGAAGCTCCTGGGTCCTGGCTTCTGATCGGCCCAGCTCCAGCCATTGTAGCCATCTGGGGAGTGAGCCAGCGGATGGAAGATTTCTCTCTCTCTCTCTCTCTCTCTCTCTCTCTCTCTCTTCCTGCTTCTGCCTCTCTGTAACTCAGCCTTTCAAATAAATAAGAAAATAAATCTTAAAAGAAGAGTTTGTCTAGCTACCTACCTTATATAATTGGCTCACACAGTGTTTGTCCTTTTGTGACTGACAATTCACTTGGCGTGATGTTCTCTGGGTTCATCCACATTGGAGCGTGTATGAGAATCATATTCCTTTCAAAGGCTGAGTAATCGATCTCTGTCGCATGTGTATACCACTTTTAGTTTATTTTTTCCATTGATAGATGAATGCACAGTTGGATTGCATTGACACTGTGGCTATGGGTGAACAAATACCTCCTGAGTACCTGATTGAAATTCTTTTGAGCAGATATCTAGGAGTGGAATTGCAGGATCCTATGCCAATTGTTGGAGGAATTGCCTTTCTGGTTTTTATATTGGCTGTACCATTTTACCTTCCCATCAACAGTGTGCAAGTCTAATTTCCCCCACATCCTTGCCAACTTTTGTTATTTTCCCCCTTCTCTGTTTTGTGAGGTGACATAGTTTTAATCTAATTTTCCTCCTTTTTCTCTTGGGTTTCTTGTACAATGGCCTGAGTTTTCCTTGGCATAGACCAGCTGAGTTGCCTGTGGGTTTTCCGTGTGCCCTCAGCATTCCTGGCCTCTGCTGTAAAGGATGGAGGCAAAGGCACGCGGAACGAGAGGACAGGGAGGCTAAGTCTTGCTCCACAGGCGAGGAGGGAGGCTCTGCATGCCTGTGTTCGGCAGCTCACCCAGCTCCAAGGTCATGGTCACAGCTATGTTACTTACAGAAGCAGGGGCCGGAGAGAAGGGAGCACCTGGAAGCTCTCTGGGGATGCTCCACGTGGTGTAACCTCTTCTTACAGAACTAAAGTAGTTTCTGTTTTAAATCTTGAGATAAGGGAACAGAACCTCTGAGCTTGCATCCCTGAATTGCTCTCAAATCCCACAAGGTGGAGTGCTCTTGGCAGGGTATGGGAAGGAGAGGCAGATGAAATGGAGGTGCCGCTTCCTCTTATTCCCTGCAGAGATGAGTGTTGCATGCATTTGGTTGTGGAGGGTGAATGTTGGGGAGGACAGGGCTTTCCCATGGGCAGGTGGGCACCCAGGCCACAGTGCTCTGCAGAGGATCAAAGGGCTCCTCTTAGGAGGCTGACAGCAGGGGGCCGCTCTGGTCTGGAACCCAGAGTCCTCCTCCTCACAGGCCATGCCTGAAGCTCCTCACAGCTACAGAGCCCCAGCTGGGAATCGCAGACCCAGAGTTCGGCTCTGGGAATGCCTTTCTCTTGCCCAGGGGGTTTGTCCTGCAGTGTTGGTGGTGGGGACTCGAGAGACTGCCTAGCAAACCCTGCATTGAATAAAGGAAAACCAGAGCTCCTCTGTGAAATCCACTCATTCACGTTCCTATTGACAAACACGCGTGCTCCCCTGCTGGAAAGTCACTGGTTGGAGGAAGAGATGTGGCCCTTGTTAACTGTCAGTGACAACCTAGCGCACTGGCTCTCAAAGCCAGTCTCTTAGACCAGCAGCAGCGGTAGCACCCAGGACCTCATTAGAAAGGCAAATGTGTATTACCCAAGACCTGCTGAATAAGATGCAGGAAGAGAGACCAGGCACCTGTTCCAGCCAACCTCCAAGTGTTTCTGATGCCCAGTAACCTTTGGTCATCACTGGGTTAGTGAAATGCATTATATGGGTGGACTGTGAATACCAATGCCTACAGATGTCTGTCTATCATCTATCAATCTATCTAGGTATCTATGTATCTGTAGCCATCCATCATCCATCCAACCACACATCTATCTACCCTCTGATTCCCACAACAGCCCATCAGGGGGCATTATTTTCTTGCCATTTTGCAGTCAGTACCTAAACACACTGGACTTTAGTGACTTGCCACAGTCATGAGCCAGACTTAACTCTCCATACCCTTGTCACTACGAACAGGGTCTGTGATTTTAGTCACAGTCTCTGCCTCTTCCAGAGATCTCTCTTGTATTAACCCAATCATTTTCCAGCAGTCTTGGAGTTCTCTCAATTATGGAGTGAGTTATTCTCATCAATTTCGCATTTGCATCTGCTCTTCAAATGCAGGCTGCTCTGTGGCACGCTCTATAAGCTGGGCATAGCCTCAATCACCCTCACCGGGTATCCCTATGTTTCCATTGCCAGGGCCCTGGGTGGGCTGATAAGGGCAGGGGAGGGAGAGATTTGAAAGCCCCTCATGAAGAATTCACATTTGATTTCTCCCTCATTGTCTCAGACATGAGGGAGGCAGGTGGGAGCAGACCATGCCCTTCACACAGAAGAAAGCCAAGGCTGGCTGTGAGGAAAAGACATTCACTCCTGGGAAGCCTCGGCTTCCCTGGGCTCAGGAGGCACATCTCCACCCAGGCTCTTTCCTGGGATGAATGGTACTCTGCGGCCTGGAAAAAGACTGACCCTTAGCCAAACTACACCCCATGATGGAAAGGAACTGGGTGACAGGGTGACAGCTGAATGGAGGGCTCTCTGGATGAGGCAGGCTGGCGCTGAGCCAGGGAACTTCAAGCGACCCAGCACTGTCCCACTGACCAGGGCTGTGCGGGAGCCTCCAGGACATTTCCACAGCCAGAGACAATCAACTCACAGCAAGGGGATATCTAGGAGTGCGGGTGTGCCCATCCTTTGGGGAGTTTTGCATGTTCTCTCTCTCTCTCTCTCTCTCTCTCTCTTTCTGTGTGTGTGTGTGTGTGTGTGTGTGTGTGTGTGTCTTTCTGTCTGCAGCCTTGAAGGCTGTGGGGCTATGACCTCAGGAGCATGGTTCAGGATCTCCCCCAGCCTGATGAGCCTACCCCCATCATTTTCCTGACCACGTGTCTCCTGACTGTGCATTTTCCTTCTACATCAACCATTTGAACAAAACTTAGAGTGTCTCTAGGACCAGGGCTGAGGACCCAAAAAAGCAAAAGGGACCGTTTACAAAGCACTTCAAGGTGCTCAAAGACCCATCAGGGAGACTGGGCTTTGAATCCTTTTATGATTTTTATTTTTAAAATTATTTAAATTTTTGATTTAAAGTTTTTGACAATTCATTGATGCTATTCTAACCCTTCCTTCCTCCCTCCTCCTCTCTCCCTCCCTCTCCCTTTCTCTTTTCTTTCTTTTTTTAGTTTTTGAGAAAACATATTTTTGATTTAAATTATAGTCAGGGGCTTAGTGCTCCACCAAATAAATGAAAAAGCAAAAAGATCCTACTTTACCGGAATATAGGCAAAGGCTATAAAAATAATCAAATGGAAAAATGACCATTTTTCCCATATACAGCAGATTTTAAGGTAATTACAGATCATTAAAACTATAGTAGTACAACATTCTTAACCATTGGTTTGACAGAAGCATAAAACAAAGATGAACAAAACCATATTGGCAGTAGGCTGGCGCCATGGCCTACTAGGCTAATCCTCCACCTGAGGCGCCGGCACCCTGGGGTTCTAGTCCCGGTTGCTCCTCTTCCAGGCCAGCTCTCTGCTGTGGCTCAGGAGGGCAGTGGAGGATGGCCCAGGTCCTTGGGCCCCGCACCCGCATGGGAGACCAGGGGGAGGCACCTGGCTCCTGGCTTTGGATCGGCGCAGTACGCCATTTGGGGGGTGAACCAAAGGAAGGAAGACCTCTCTCTCTGCCTCTCTCCCTCTCACTGTCTAATTCTGCCTGTCAAAAACAAACAAATAAACAAAAAAACTATATTGGCACCAATTCGGATGCCCACGTGGCCTTTGAATCTTAGGCTGAGGCTGCCCACAGGTCACCTCACATTTTTTCTGCTGCAGAGTTTGGGAGACTGCTGCCCAGAAGTCCAATGCATTGGCCAAGTCACAGACAGTGTGAGGAGGACTCAGGCCACACTCCCAGGCCTGACACCCAGCCAGGCTGCCTGAGGACAAGGGCCTGGCTTCCAGAGATGAGGGGCTCCTGAATGCAAGTGGATGTAGGAGGCATGGGACTTAATGGGACTTAAAGATCACGCTTCCCGCTTGGAATCCTGCTTATATCTCTGCAGTCTGCTTATCTGTTTTCCCTTTTTAGATCTCTTGCTCTGGAATCCTCACTAGAATGAAGACAATGTGTCAGATGAGGTTCCTTGCAGGCAGGGTGGGTTACACCGAAGCCCTTGTTGTGGCAGGCTCTATGCTGAGTGAAACTACCCGGGGGTACTCCACGAAAGACACAGAGTTTCAAGAGCCATCCCAAACCTACTTACTTTGAATTTCCAGAATAACCATCTGGGCCTGACACTTGGAGATTACTCTGATCAGCTGGAGAAGGAAACTGTTTCCATAATAGGAGCTCACTGAGTGCCTGGCAGGAGATTTGAACCTTGTACACATCTGGCCACAGCAGCATGGTAGGATATGCACATGGTGGTGAAAACAGAGCTGACTCTTGACTGTTTGCTTTTGTGGTGTTTTAGGTAATTGTCGTGTGTGTGTGTGTGTGTGTGTGTGTGTGTGTGTGATGCTTTCCACTAAGTCTAGAAACACCTTAACCCAGGAGTCTTTTCCTCTCTCTCGGTTAAATCCTTAACCTCACTGCCACCAAAAACATCCAGAATGGCCTCTGTGCATGACTGAGTGAGGTGGGGTCTGGCGCATGTTAGAGATATTTCTATTGAGGGATGAGGTCCTATTTGTGGCATGTTACTCTTGTACCTAGGCACTCTTCAAACATTGGAAGAGAGAAACTCTTCTCTTTTGTTTGTCCTGCAGGCTACATCAGGCTTGGCTGCATAAGCGAATAGTGCTGGCATGCTTTGGAGAACAGCTCAGCTGTGAATATTAGAATGCACAGGTAAGGACAGGCAGTGCACATGGAGAGACTTTGCTGACGTGTAGAGGATTACCAGGTGATGAACAGACCTCCATCCCTGATAACAGCATACTCCTGAAGTCTGGCGTGCCTGCACAGCCCAGAGAGCCCACATGCCTGCCTGAGGCTGGCCAGGAAGAGATGAGTTAGCCACTCCCTGTACTTCCTCATCCCTGGGACCAGGAGGCTTAGGAATGACCCCAACTGTGCCAGATCCATGCATCGTTTTCCTCACATTCTGTCAGAGGAGCCCTGAGCTGGGACAACACCTTTCCTCCAGTCCCTACTGTTGCCTGTCAGAGAGAAAAGCACTTATCAACCTGCAGCAACAATTGCATTCAGTCGACACATAATTATTGAGACTCTGCTGCCTCTCAAGAGCTGTGATTGGTCCTGGAGAGATAATGGTGAGCAAAGCAGGCAGTGAAAGTGGTGGGATCTTCAACACGGAGACTCGGTGTGAGACGGAAGCCACGGGAGGGGCAGCTCAGCCCGTCAAGTGCTGGGAAGAGGGAATTGCCAGTCGGAGGCATGCAAGGCGAGTGGGAGTTAGCTGATAAGTAGAGGAAAGAGGAGGGTCTTCCAGGCCGAGAGGACACAGGCTTCCTCTCCACATAGCTGGCTTCATGGCAGGCAGCTTAGGGAGGGGAGGGCCGTTCCTCACTGCTCAGTCACCTTCCTGCTCCCTAACGTTGTTTCCCTGCTGCCCCGAGGACTCCATTCTCAGGCTTAATGAACTCTTAAGCACCATCTTGGAGAAAGACTTGAGAAGAACCAGACCTAAATTTCTGCTGACTTCAACTTGAGAACTTCCGATTCCGAAGGGACTAGAATAATGGGCTTCCTCTGACAAGGTAAACTGTTGCTCAGTGGAATGTGCAGCTCTGAGTTTAAGCGGCCAGTCAGCTGCCCTTGTAGGAGACCCACAGCTGCACCTGCGAGGAAAGCTTGGCAGGCTGAAGTCTTAGTACAGGGCAAGGGTGAGACTGCACCAAGAGTGATGGGCTCATGCTCCCGACAGCTGTGCCTGCGGGCTCTGCTCCGCCTCTCCCACAAGCTGCACACCTGGGCGTGGTGCTCAGCTCCCAAGGCAGTGAGGCCGGGGGATGTTGAGATGCTGTGTGCCAACCACCACACGTGTCAGAAATCCTTCCTCACACCCCCAGTGACTTAAAATAAAAGCTTTCATATCACTCCATTTTACAGATGTTAGAGAAAACAAAATCCACAGAGGTTAACTAGTTTGTCTGGTCAGACACCTAAGACCAGATAGTGCTTGAATCCAAGCCTAGGCTCACCTTTCTCCAAAACTGTGTGCGTTCCTGTGGAAGGAAAGCAATGCTATGTTTAGAAAGGAGTAGCATGTCACCACTCCTTTATTTTAAGTGCTTTCAAGCAGAAAAAGAACCAGTATTTCAGTAGAACCCAAGAGCTTAAATTCAGTGAGTAGAACCATAAACAGGGAAGATTCATGTTATAAACAAGGAGAAGCATCGCTAGTCGGAGCTGTTTAGAAATGGACTGCTGACCCATGCGATTAACAGCTTTTATCCAATTGTTATTTGGGTTTTCATCATGTGTCAGGCACTCTTCTGGATGCTGGGATCATGTCAGTGAGTATAACGAAGATGCTGGTTCTCTAGGAGTTTAAATTTTAGCAGAGGAAAGCAAACACACGGAGCACACGTCTTATAATATTGTGTGACACATTGACATATACAGACTTCTTTGGAAATGAGAACAGGTGTGGCCTTGGACACAAGCCAGGCAGGCACCGCAGGGGACTTAGGAAGGGGCATGGCCCTGAGCTCGCTGTGTGGGAAAAGGGGCTCTGGGGTAGCGGAACTGGGAACCAGGACACAGCAAAGGAAAGGGCATGGAAGAGGCAACATGCGATGCAGGTCTGAGCCCAGCTCCACAGCTCAGCAGCTGAGAGACCTTGGCTTAGGCAACTTCCCCCGTACTCATTTTCCCTATTGGCAAAGAGACAATCAAACAAACAAAACCTGGACACCTGTCTGAGTCATGTGGAGAAGTAAGTAAGTTTAAAATGGCAAACTATATCATATAATACTAAAATTGTATTTGATCATAGCAGTGAAATATTCACCCTCAAGAGGAAGAGCAGAGGACAGGGGAGACGACTGGCTGGAGGATGTGCCTGTCTGCTGGGGGAGGTTGGAGCAAAGGCAGGTCAGCTCCAAGCCCAAGCAGGGGCCAGCGGAGCTGCAGGGGTCCACATAAAGCAAAGTACGGGGCAGGTCAATGGCGCTTCAAGGGGAGGCAGTGAAGGAGGGCAGAGGAGCAGTGGGGTGAGCTGGTGGTGGGCATGGCCTGGGCACTGCTGGATGTAGAAGTGAAAGATCTGGGAGGCAGGAAGTCCAGCCCCCAGGGTGAATCCCAGCTGAAAGATGGGGAAGTAGCCGCTGTCACCAACGGCCATCAGGATTCTGAAGCCACCCAGTGAGTTTGCCATTGGTGTGGTTGCTTGAGTCAGCCAGGAGAGGAAGTCTTTGCAATCAGTCAGAAATGTATCCGAGGATCAGGATTGGGTCCTTAGTCATTGAAAGGTGCTCTAGATGGGTCTGACCAGGAAAAAGGCCTGGATGAGTAATCAGTTAATTGATCAGTCATTTCCAGAGTCTCATCAGCATGATTCAGGTTTATTTTGTTCAATCAGAAATCCAGGCGCTCTTTCCATTAGTGTGGGCTTAATATTCCTGTAGCAAAGCAGAGTCTCTCAACTGCTAATGGTTGGGGCCAGATAATTCTTTGTTTTGGAAGGGCTGTCCTGTGTTTAGAGTACTTAGCAACATCCCTAGGTGCCTACCCATTAGAAGACAGAAACTGTGATGGTCAAACACACGTCCAAATTGTCGAATGCCCTCTCTTGGGGTAGGAACGAGGGTGTGAGGGTGCAGAATCCATCCTCGCCCGACCATTGACAGAGACTCAGTAACTCGGGCCCCATCCTTAGGGCAGTTCCAGTCCAGCAATCTAATCTTCCTTTTGCATTCATCCCTAGCCTCTGGAAATGAAAAGTCTCAATAATATAAGGCAAGGGAGCACATGCAAGTACATGCCAGTAATTATAGCTTTAAGGATCATGGAAGGCTCTAATTTTTCCTCCAAGGAAGCTGAGTGTAGATTTTTAGAAAGGTAGATTATTATTTTTTTAAGATTTATTTATTTATTTAAAAAGCAGAGTTACAGAGAGGCAGAGGCAGAGAGAGAAAGAGAGAAAGAGAGGTCTTCCATCCACTGGTTCACTCCCCAATTGGCCGCAATGGCCAGAGCTGTGCCTATCTGAAGCCAGGAGCCTGCAGCTCCTCCTTGGGTGAAGAGGTCCAAGGACTTGGGCCATCCTCCACTGCTTTCCCAGGCCATAGCAGAGAGCTGGATCAAAAGTGGAGCAGCCAGGACTCAAACTGGTGCCCATATGGGATGCCAGCACTGCAGGCTGTGGCTTTTATCTGCTACACCACAGCACCAGCACCAGTAAATTATTGTTATAGTGCTACCTTGAGTAGATTATCTGTGATTATCATTTTTATCCTTTAGCAAACTTGTCCCATAGCTCAAAACATTTACTGTCTAATTCTCCTGCTTTGAAAAGCCACTGGGAACCTGAATAAAAACCTTATAAGCAACTTCAATTGTCCCAAAAAATTACAACCCAGGACTTTTAACAAAAACATGTGATTTGAAGTGATGGCTGGTTGCTGGGGTTAATAGGCAAAGGGAGAATAGGAAAAAATGCCCAAGGCCTCTGAGAGAGTCCTCAGTAAATAGGCCCACACTGTTCCTCCATCCCCCACCCCACCCTGGATTTAGGAGAACTACTGGGGATAAATAAAGAAAGCTCTCCATGTAAGAGTGTACTCTGGGGGCCGGTGCTGTGGCGCAGTGGGTTAAAGCCCTGGCCTGAAGTGCCGGCAGCCCATATGGGTGTCGGTTCTAGCCCCGGCTGCTCCACTTCCGACCCAGCTCTCTGCTATGGCCTGGGAAAGCAGTGGAAGATGGCCCAAATCCTAGGGCCCCTGCACCCATGTGGGAGACCCAGAATAAGCTCTTGGCTCCTGGCTCCTGGCTTCGGACCAGCTCTGCTCCGGCTATTGAGGCGATCTGGGGAGTGAACCATTGGATGGAAGACTTTTCTCTCTGTCTTTACATTTATCTGTAACTGTCTTTCAAATAAATAAAATAAATCTTAAAAAAAAAATTCACTCTGAATTAGAGCCAATGGCATGATCATGAGTTGGGAAAACTCCAGAGTATCAGCTCAACACAGGCAGACCCTGAAGCTTGATTAAGTCTGAGAATTTGTCAGACAGACTGGACAACAAGGAGCTCCTAGCCAAAGCAGTGATTACTGGAGCTAAGTCACTTCTCCCGAAAGAGGCTAGATTCCTGTGTTGCTCCAGTGACCCTTACCTGAAATCCTTGGTGGTAGATGTGTTTTGGAATTCAGAACTTTTTTCTAATGAGGGTAAAACAGTGAGTAGAATGTGTTAGTAATGCTACCAGCATTCTTCAGAATTAGCCAAGTCTAATTCCAGCACCATGGAATTCAGACTAAGGATTCTGCCACACCCCTGAGCTCCATGGATGGAGGCAGGTGAGGACCAGCCATTGGTCATTAGCTGTCACTGGATCGTGGGGGTGTCAGGAAGTGGGTCCTCCCCTGGCCAGGGCTTGTCATACACATCGGGGGCAGGGCCCAAGGCCAGGATAAAAGGGAGCCAGAGGCAGAGCTCCTCATCTGCTCACCTCCTGAGGTACCACGAACCCCGTGCTGCCTGCTACCTGGTAAGTGTGCACTGCGGACGGGAGTGGAGGCTTCCTGGAGGGATGCTCAGAACAGGGCAGGCGGGGAGGCTGGGCAGGCTGTGGCAGATGTGGAGTTGACTGGCAAGTGGGGGCAGGCTAGAGATTCTGAAAAGGAGGATAAAGATGGGGTGGGAAGATCTGGGGGCCAGATGCTACAGGTTTAGAGAAGCCAAGATGTTTTCATGTTTTTATTTATTTATTTTCATTTTTTCAGTTGAAAGAGAGACACACAGAAAGAGACAAAGACAGACAGAGATCTTACATCCACTGGTTCACTCCCTAAATACTTGCAACAGCTGGAGCTGGGTCTGGCTGAAGCCAGGAACCCAGAAATCAATCCAGATCTCCTACATAGGTGGCAAGGACCCAAGGACTTGAGCCATCACCTTCCAGGGTGTGCATTAGCTGAAATTGCAAGAGAAGCCTGGACTCAAAGCCAGGCTCTCTGATTTGGGATGTGGGTGCCCAAGCGACAGCTGACCTAGTGCAGCAAGACACTCACCCTCCAGGGTGTTTTCAACAGCAGAGTGCTTCTCTGGTTTTAGGGAATATTGGAAATATTGGCCACTAGATTGTGGAGGAGTGCGGCGTATAGCAGGAATAGAATCTTAGAAATACAGTCATACTAATTTTTTTTTAAAAAAAGATTTATTTATTTATTTGAAAGGCAGCATTACAGAGAGAAAGAAGGAAGGGTAGAGACAGAGAGGGAGAGAGGTCTTCCATCTGCTGGTTCACTCCCCCAATGGCTGCAACGCCCCAGGATGGGCTGATCTGAACCAAGGAGCCCAGAGCTTCTTCCAGGTCTCCCACATGGGTGGCAGGGGCCCAAGGACCTGGGCCATCTTCCGCTGCTTTCTCAGGCTCATTAGCAGGGAGCTGGATGGGAAGTGGAGCAGTTGGAACTTGAACCAGCATCGTTATGGGATGCCGACACCACAGGCAGCGGTTTTACCCACTACCTAACAGCGCCAGCCCCAGTCATACTCATTTTTACATAAAATATGCTGAGTAATTGGTATAAAGGAAGACAGGATCAGAGACCCACGTGGCTCTGGCTAGGCTAAGCGGAAAGGCCCATAGTGCAGGAGGAGGCCCACAAGGGAGCTGAGCAGTCCTGTGATGGTGCCTGGGAGGCAGAGTCAGCTGGGCAGAGTGGTAAACGGCCCTGCACGGTGGATTCCCCTCTGGGCTTCAGACTTCAGTTTCTTCATTGACTGATAGAGATTGTTGGAATAACCTGACTCTAAGAAGCCTTACAGCTGCAGTTTTATGTATTCCTGCAAAACCAAAGCATGGCGGAAGTTCAAACAGGGATTTTTTTTTTCTCCTTTTCCTTTAATGAGGCCTCAAACTGGTCCCTATTTTGGACATTTTCAAAATTCTTGGTGAAGTGGTAGAATGAGTGCCGGACTGGAGCCCATCTATTTCCTGGTCTTTTCTCCCACACTTTGGGGGTTCTGAGGATCACCAATTTTCTGTACATATTTGGATATGCTATTGCGTGGCGAGGTCCCAGATGTTTGAAAGGAGCCTCTGTGAAGGAGAGCCCTAGACACTCCATTAAGAGTGATAAAAAATCAGAGGGGATTTTCCTGGGCGTGATCACAGAACTTTCAAGATGAAGGACTGGGAGTGATGCTGAAAATGAAGGGTGGGGTGGCCTCTGTGGCCTGGTCTGACATGCTGTGTGATTTCCCCTCAGATCCCGAACGCCCGCCTGCCCAGATGTCCTGCCAGCAGAGCCAGCAGCAGTGCCAGCCCCCTCCCAAGTGCCCCCCCAAGTGCCCTCCCAAGTGCCAAGCCCCCAAATGCCCCCCAAAGTGTCCCCCTAAGTGTCCTCCAGTGTCCTCCTGCTGCATCTCCAGCTCCGGGGGCTGCTGTGGCTCTGGGGGTGGGGGCTGCTGCAGCTCTGGGGGTGGGGGCTGCTGCAGCTCTGGGGGCGGCGGCTGCTGCCTGAGCCACCACAGGCCCCGCAGGTCGCACCGCCGCAGACAGCAGAGCTCAGGCTGCTGCAGCCAGCCCTCGGGGGGCTCCAGCTGCTGCGGAGGGGGCGGCAGCCAGTCATCTGGGGACTGCTGCTGAGGGGGACCCTGAGCCTGGAAAAGCAGAATTAGAGGAATGAAAGGGGCAACTGCATCTTCCTTGGGCCTGGCTGTGTTGCTGAGACTTTTATTGAAGACTTCAAACACTGCCTTGGAAGACTCCTCTGACCTGACACCCAGAAATCTCTGTCTTCTCCCAAAACTCTCTGCAGCTGCCCAGGAACCCAGCTACTTATGTCATTCCCCAGATTCCTTCCTTGTCAGTGCACTGCGTTAAGTCAAACAATAAAATAAACCATCCACTCACCGACTTGTCCTAGGCTGCTTTTCTCTTGTTTGGAAATGTGCCGAGGCAGATGAACATGTCTGGTCTCGGCTCAGCCTGCCCTTGTCGTCTGTGCCCTGTGGTAGCACTGCTGGGATTCAAGACTCCCAGAATCCTTGTGCACCCAGCTCCTTCAAGTCCTTGTCCTCATTAAAGCTAAAACAAGCTCTCAGTAGATCAGCCAGGATCAAGGAGGGACACAGAAATTACGATGTTTACTGTATTTGTTTATATGTAAAGATTTATTTGAAAAGCAGAGAGAGAGAGAGAAATCCCATCCTCTTCCCAAATGGCTGCAACTGTTGGAGCTGAGCCATGCCGACACCAGAGCCTGGAACCCCATCCAAGCCTCCCACATGGGTCACAGGGGCCCAAGCATTAGGGCCAACTTCCGCTGTTTTGCTAAGGACATGAGCAGGGAGTCGGCTCGGAAGCAGAGCAGCTGGGCTGCAGACTGACACTGCAGTATGGGACACTGGTGTCGCCTGCAGCTGCTGAGCCCCATGCACCACCGCCCTGGCTGCATAATGTTTACAATAAGAAGCAGAACTTCATAGTTTCTATTACTAGCAACCCTGTGGGTATAGGCAACTCTGCTGGGCTGCCGCGGTAAAGTGCCAGGAGGCAAACAGGAAGCAGATAGGAGTTTGGATTCTTGGCCAACTTTCAAACTCTTCCTAGCTCCCCCTACTGGCTGCTGTGAGGCAACTGCAAGGGAAGAATGTCTTGCGGAGTCTCAACCGTAACCTAAGGCCAGATGTCCACCAGAGGGCTTGAAGCTGAGCAGTAATAAACTCCGGAAGCAGGTAGGGACACAGGCACGACCCTCTTCCTGAAACCTTCCATCTCCCCACCCCTATTCTACTACCGCATTTTACCACGATCGTCTTCAGACAAGGATGACAAATGCTTTACAAAGGCAAACTGCTATGACATGGAGTCAGTGCCTGCAAACAGACCTCAAAGTTTCTAGTGTCAGCACTGCCTATACAAACAAAATAAAAAATCACCTGCACAGGCACACAAACCCACACACCAAGCAATCTCGATGCAGTGTCGGAAGCTTGGACACACTGCCTGGTCCCCTGAAAGCCCCCTGCCCCTGTGCCTACGTCAGTCCTCACAGTTGGATGCAGCTTTAGGTTTCGGGTGACGTCTGCCGGTCTTCTGCTTTTCCTGGGAGCCTCCCTGGTTTTCCTCTACTTCCACAGTACTTGAACTTGAGCACTACAACTTTTTTTTATCAATAATATCCTCAAGTTATCTGCTCTCCTCCTACTGTGCCCTTGTATCTTTTCCTCCCGGGACTGTCTCAGATGCGTTTTCCCTCCCCTGTCTGGCCCTGAGTCCCTAGGGAAGGGTAGTCTGAGTCTCTGAACGTCGTAGCTCCTGCCACCCCAGGATCAAGGGCACAGGCAGGATTTTAGGCCCCGGGTGAAGGGCTCTTTAAGTGTAGGGGAGAGGGGTGTTGCACCATACTGGGGACTTCCTAGGGACGAGGGATGAGTCTCTTCCCTCACTCTGTGGGCTCCCTAGATCAGGCTAGCCTGCACTTTAACCTAAGTATGGCCCTCCATGGAAGACAGGCATTCTCACGGTGCTCCCTCTAGCGGTGGCAACATGGTCTTCCTCTTTCTCACTCTCAAAAGTTCCAAGGACCTGAGACACTTAGGCGGGGACTGGCAGATGTCTCAGTGCCAGGTGTGCCCTAAAGACAAGGAGGAAGCTCTCTGCAGAATCCCCACGATTGTCCCCTTGACCAGAAACTAGTCAGGCAGTGTGGTTGAACTTTGCTTCTCTGCTTCCTACGTGTGGGAGCTGTTAAAAGGTAGCTGAGATGCAATGAACATTTAAAGCATTTATTTGAGTAAGCAATGATTGCTGAATCAGCCATTTTCAAATCAGTAGTGTTTCAGGGGCTCTGCCACTGTTAATCAGTGCAATTTAGTTCATTCTGTACTGCTGTGCCACCTTACAATGGCACTGCTATTTATTAACAGTTTCTTGTCAGGGAATGTTTATGTTGTTTCCAACTCTGTTGCCATTCTGAACAATCCTGTTATTAAAAATTCTCTACCTATTGTCTTTGTGTTGGACAGCTTTTCCAGGATGTGTGCCAAGGACCAGCATGGCTGAATTGTGGATGCGCTCATGTTTAACTTCATGATGTACTGTCACATTATTTTATTTATTTTTTAAAATTTATTTATTTATTTGACAGATAGAGTTGGACAGTGAGAGAGAGAGACAGAGAGATAGGTCTTCCTTCCGCTGATTCACCTCCAAATGGCCGCTATGACTGAAACTACGCAGATCCGAAGCCAGGAGCGAGGTGCCTCCTCCTGGTCTCCAACGAGGGTGCAGGCACCCAAGCACTTGGGCCATCCTCCACTGCCTTCCTGGGCCACAGCAGAGAGCTGGACTGGAAGAGGAGCAACCGGGGCTAGAACCCAATGCCCATATGGGATGCCGGTGCCGCAGGTGGAAGATTAACCAAGCGAGCCACGGCGCTGGCTCCTGTACTGTCACATTAATACCCAGCTAACACTTCCTCTATTAATACTGGCAACACTTGGTGATGTCAGATACTTGTTTCATTTTTTTAAAAGATTTATTTATTTGAAAGGTAGAGTTATAGAGAGGCAGAGGCTGAGGTAGAGGGAGAGAGAGAGAGAGAGAGAGAGAGAGAGAGAGAGGGAGAGAGAGGTCTTCGATCCACTGTTTCACTCCCCAGATGGCTGCAACAGCCACCAGAGCTGTGCCGATTGGAATCCAGGAGCCAGGAGTTCCTCTGGGTCTCCCAGGCAGGTGCAGGGGCCCAAGTACTTGGGCCAATTTCCACTGCTTTCCCAGGCCATAGCAGAGAGCTGGATCAGAAGTGGAGCAACCATGACTTGAACTGGTACCCATATGGGATGCCAGCACTGCAAGCGGCAGCCTTACCCACCATGCCACAGTGCCAGCCCCACTTGTATCATTTTCCAACAATGAGTATGAAATAGTCTTATTACTGTTGTTAATCCATTTTCCTGACTACTGATGGCTCACTTAAAAATGTTTATTACTACATAACATGTATTTTTGCTGTTATCTTAAAAAAGGATCTTTTAATCTTCTATTACTTTCAAAGACATACGATTGCACCTGTTGGTCTTGCAGCTGAAAACCTGCTAAACTCTTAATATTTCTAATGTGTTACTGTGAGCATTATCATGCATGTAGTCTCTTCTTTGTGTTTCTTTATATCCTTAGATCTAAATCCCTAGATGTGCAAGCACTGTAGCAGAGTATGGCCCTTTTTATTTTATTTAGTTTACATACCACAAAGTATGTCTTGAACGAATTGTCATATTGTCACTCAGAATAACTACACTTATTATTGAAGCAGGAGCACCCAATTCCACTCATGTTTAACACTGAGTTCTTGGGCAGTAAGTAGGTAAGTTGGATAGACCCCTTGTAACAGACGCAGACCTGTCCCTGGGTTTGACTCTTTTCTGTTGGCTTGTTTGCATGCCTCCTATTGCCTTGTGAGAGCTGCTTCTAGGTATTCCTAGCAAATACTTTTATGTTGTCATTTTCCCCAACTTCTTTCCACCTTTTTCAAGGTTCTGCTTGCTACATAAATTTTAAGTATTAAAATACATTTATAACTTTTTATATTTTCTCTTCCTTTATTCACTCAAAATAATTTTATTTCTCAATGAATTAGGAATTATAAATATTTTCTTCTAATTGTATATTTAAAGTAATTCACAGGGGATGGCATGGTGCCAGCCACCTGCAGTGTCGGCATCCCATGTGGGTGCCAGTTCGAGTCCCCGCTGTTTCACTTCTGATCCAGCTCCCTGCTAATGGCCTGGGAAAAGCAGCAAAAGATGCCCCAAGTGCTTGGGCCCCTGCACCATATGGGAGATCCAGATGGTTCCTGGGTTCCACCTGGACTAGTGAACCAGCAGATGGAAGATCTCTCTCTCTCTCTCTCTCTCTCTCTCTCTCTCCCCCTTCTTCTCTCTAACTTTTGAGTAAATAAATAAATCTTTTAAAAATTAATTTATAATACAACATAAAGGTTTTGAAATGAAGGGGAACAAACTTAAAATTACTAATGTGAAAACTTCCATCTCCAGAAGGAAGTGTAGGGTTGAGGAGCAGAGGGAAGTTGATAGAGTTGGAGCTCCCTCCCATAGATCTCAGCCACGCTTCCTCCTATTCCCTGAGATCATGGGAGGACATGAGAACAGATGTCCTTGATGGATGGATGGGTGACCTCAAAAAACCACTCCTTTGTCATTAAACATTTCTCCTATTGAAATGCTAATCAGCCAATTTGAACCTAACAGCCAAGGTTTGAAAATGAGTCCTCACGCTATGGCAACCATGCTGCTGATTTATGACCTATGCCTAACTCAGATGAGTTGACATCTGGGTGCTTCCCTGTCTAGGAGGCAGGGGCGTGACTCAATGCCTCTTGGTTCCATCATCCCAGGAATCAGAGAGCTGGGCGTGTGAGAGGCACTATCTGTGTGAGCCAGGGAATCAGTATCCCGGCCTCTCCTGCAGTAACTAAGTCCCTTGAGACAATCTGGGAGCAAGTCACACGGATAACACAGAGGCAGAGCTCTGCCAGCAACGTCTTAGGGTGGATTGCACATGTGACTTCCATGACTCAAGTGGAGGAGACACGTTCTCAGGGGCGTGAGATGCTCATGAAATGATTGTGTCCATACAGCTGCTCTCAGTGCTGACGCAGATACAGACATTATAACCGGATCCTGCTCTTTCGAGCTAGTCAGTCTCATTCCAGAGATCAACCACATGCAGCAAAACACAAGGAAGGCAGGGATCAGCCTGCGCAAAGTGGAGTTAACAGGCAAAGTCAGCTTAGGGACCTCCTCAGGCAGTGAAGCCCCTGAAAAGACTTCATTTAATGATAGCAGAAGTTTATAAATTGTTATCCACACTGGGATATGCCTGAGATT